ATAAATACTTCTCGTCAGGGACTTCGAGCTACCCTGCATATATATTCTCAGTTTGCACATGGGCATGACGGGTGAAGGGGGTCAAAAGGCACAAACTTGCAGTTACAAGTTCTGGGGATGTCATGCATGGCACGGTGCCTACAGTTCATAATACCATACTGTGTATTTGAAAGTTGCTGAGAGAGTAGATCTTAAAGTTCCCATCACGAGGGAAAAAACCGTTTAACTGTGAGGTTGATGGATATTAACTAAAGCTATTGTAGTGACCACGTCACAATATATACATAAATCATTATGTCGTGTACCTAAAACGAATACAATGTCATCTGCTAATTATATCTCACTAAAACTGGAAAAAAAAAAAAAGGAGGGGGGCTCAGGAATTTTAAATTCATTAAACAGATGAGAAAACTGAGAAAGAAACTCGTAGCAGAGGCAAAGTCAGAAGATGGCGTAGGTCTGGGTGCCTGGGTGGCTCAGATGGTTAAGCGTCTGCCTTCGGCTCAGGTCATGATCCCAGGGTCCTGGGATCGAGTCCCACATCAGGCTCCCGGCTCAGCGGGGAGCCTGCTTCTCCCTCTGACCCTCTCCCCTCTCATGCTGTTTCTCGCTCGCTCGCTCTCTAAAAAATAAATAAAATCTTTAAAAAAAAAAAAAAGATGGCGTAGGTCTCAGTGGTCAGGACAGTGTGGTTGACTCTACTGTTCTTTTCCGTCTCTGCTTTGGCTTGCTGGTACATCCTGATGGCAGAGTACTATCAGCTGCTGTCACACAGTCCGCCAAACATGTCTGCCTGCATTTCGTCATTTCTGCTTCTCCAGTTTAGTTCCTTTCATGGCCCACATTCAGCCAAGAAAGCACAGGAAAGAGGGAGCTTCGTCTCCCACATCCACCACCCACCAGCAGCATGACTTCAACATTCCCTGCATATTCCTGAGCCCGTCTGAGCCATACCACGTGCTGCACACTGAAGATTACAGAATTTGGGAGTTGCACGTAAGAGAAAAATGAGCATGGTTAAAAATAATCGAAGACTGCCAACATATTCTTTAAAGAGAAATGAGAATTAGCAAAGGTCTAGCAACAGTCATGGCTTTTAATGCTATTTAAAAAAAAATTCATACTTTAAAACTACTGAATGAGGTCCTTTCTAGATTTTTGCAATAAATCTGATAGTCCCACAGACCATGCATTAAAATCTTTCTGACCTATCTCATTCTATTAGAAATCTAGATTGAGTGAACAGTATATAGAAGATGACAGTTTCCAAGTTACCTTGGTTATATCTGTTTCTTACTCATAGTGTCCTTCTAAGGATGATCACTGCAGCTTTGAAATCTGGTGGCCACCAAAACACTCATCCCCCCTTCCCCCCGCCTTGGCAATTCTAGCTGCATGATAGCCCTTCGGCCACCTGAGATCATGACACATCCTTCTTTTCTACCCAGTCCTGCTGTTCCCTCTTCCCTAAGTTTTCACTGCCTGGAAGGTGGGGTTTGGGAAGCCTTCTGTTCTGCAGTGGATGAGATGTGTTCTTGCTGTCATGACAGCAAGAGTCTAGAATGCAAGGAGGTCAGGTGCTTGCCAGTAGGTACATACTAGCTTTTTTCATGGGAACCTGCCCCTAATTCTGCTTTTGCTCTAGTCTTTTTATTTTCATCTACCTGTCATCTAAAACTGAAACTATCACAAGCTGAATTTAGCATAGATCCTAAGTAATGGAAACAGGCTTAGAGATCCTAAAGTATAACATTTCCTAAAGTACGTTCTGTAGAATGCCACCCCTGCAAGGTGCTCTCCGAAAAGGGCTCAACAGCCAGATGAACTTGGGAGACATGGCGCACTCCACCCTCTCTCGGCATCTGAGCATATTAAAAGCTCAGCAATGTCCCTTAGTAAGTGAACTGTGTTAAACTCACATGGTAGATTTGTGGGGGGACTTGGGCCTCCCTTCCCAGACCACAGGATTTCTATGGGAAAATACTCTGAATTTCAAACCTAACTCTCCATAACCTGGAAGCGTTCTAGACATCATTGACTTTTCTCAATGATAGTAGATATTCATAAAAACGTTTTTTTGAACTGTAAAAGCTTTACAGGGTCAAAGCAGCAATAACTTTGCAATAAAAAATGTATATGTATGCATACAGATCAGCTAAAAGATAAAGTGTATACTTAAGGCATTCTTATTTCTTCTTTCCTTTTTTTTTTTTTTTTACCATTTGGGCAGCCTAGGAGAATGACTCATATCAAAAAAATTTTAAGGCTTCAAGACTGGACTGAATCTTGAACTGTCCTATATAAAGATACTAAATTCATGCTCAAAAAGGCTGTGTGTGTGTGTGTGTGTGTGTGTGTGTAAGCAAAGCTTGTTGCATCTCGAAATTGCTCAAAGGCCCAGGTCAAGGCTGGTGGCTTTTGTTACTATTTTTGAAGTTAGACACACCGTGTTCACCTAGAGAGGATTAAAATGGCGGATTTGTGGTATATGATGAAAATCCTCTGGAGCTTATACCAGGCCTGTGAAGGTCTACAGTAAATCAAACATCTGGGTGAAAAGATAAAAGATGAGGCAATTCTCTACACGCTTCCAAATGTATCAGGGACATCATGTTGATCCTAAAACTAAATAGTTGACTATTTCCACACCCCACATTTTGCCTCAGTATTCTGCCATCACACACACACTGCTCAAAACTCAAGGGGGCCGATGGCCCATAGGAATCATTTTCAGTTTGAATACAGGACAATGTTTGGGGTACGATCATAAAGGCCAGTTATATATTACTTTAAAAACCAATTTAGAAAGAAAGGCTGCAGTAGTCACTGAAAGGCTGGACTTCATCCTGAAGGCGATCACAATATTAATGCTGACATTCAGTGCAAACACGGTACGGAGGCAATATACCATTCTAAGGCCTGCAGAGTCAATATTTTCTTTCTCTTGTTTCTATTTTATTTATTTATTGCTTCTATTTTTTTTTTTCAGTTCTTTGCAAGAGCAGTGGGAAAACTCGGGATCATAAACACACTTGTGGCAGATCTATTTTATGTCTTTTAGCAGGAAGGGGACCGGGCTGTCAATTGTGATGTTGGTAGGCAAGGAGAGGGAAGAGGTGGGAAAGGAGCTAACATGGAACACCTGTTATTGGTGAGGCATTCTCCATATGTCCCTTCATGTCAATCCTGGTGAAAACCCGTGAGGCACACATCCCTGTACCTGGTTTATAGACAAAGGAAGTCAAGACTCGGAGAAGTCCTGCAACTTGTGTAAGACCCAGGCGCAGGAAGCAGAGCTGGGGTGCTAACTCTCATCTGCCTGTTCTCTCTATAACACTAAGCCAACTGCCTCAGTGCAAGGTGCTTCGTGCAAACCAAAATGCGCGTGGAGAGAATGGAATTTTGCTGTTTACAGAAACAACGGCATTTCACAAGAATGGTGAGTTATGTGTAAGGCACCAGAAACCTAACGCTGAAATGCCTTTAATCAGCACCATCGATCTCATGCAATCACACACAACCAGATATTTGGAGCAGCCTTCGAGGGCTTTGCTTTGTAGTTCTTACTGTTACCACATACCACTTTTATATTATTTTCCACATACCTCCCAAAATAGAAGGGATTTTTTTAAAGGCACATGAATGTTCTTTCCTGTTTTCATTCTCCAAAAACTGAAAGAGATGAGCCACCTGTAGCATGATGCAAATGCTCTGGGCATGAGCCTAATGTACCGTAGAATGGTGTGTACTTTGGACTATGGGAGTCTTTGGTCCTTGGGTGTTAGCCAGAGCTGACAAAGACTGCTCCAAGAAGTTTCGCCCATGACACTGAACTGTGGGCTGCCCTTCCAAGAATACATTATATTGCACTTACTGTGTAATTCTTTAAATATGTATATTTCAAACACACTGGACAGAGCAGTACTGTCAAATTAAAGGGACATTTTAATAATTCTTCTGATTACAAATTATTTCATGGTTGCAGCCATATCTGTTCTGCTTCAAATACAGAATGCCCAAGGTACTGTATTAGAGATATCCTCAAGAATTTGTACCACATTGAGGGTATCTATGTATCTATCTTCAAGGAACACTTGTTCTCTAGAATTGCTTTCATTTCTCAAGTCTGTAATAAAGGGCTAATATTTAGACTAGTGACAGATAGGACCATAAGTGGTATAATACCGTAAGTATGTCATTGTAAGACTAACTTCTGAATAAGCAAATAGATCAAACCTTGGTGTTCCCAATTATTACCTGTAGGTGTCTAATTTGTTTGACTACTTTTCAATACAGAAGACCACAAATAACGTATGAGGCACTGAAATTATTTTTCTTCCCAACAAACCTAGACGACTATGCCCTACCATTTAGAAGTGGCCACCAGAGAAACCAACAGGCATTACCATACTTTGGTACCAAAGAAAGAAAGGGATTTGTCAAATCTGAAAAGTGAAGTTAGTAGTTGAGCAACAGCAGTTTGGATACCAAGCAGAAGCGGAGTTCTAAATTTAATGGATGAGTGACAATATAGGCAAAGCTCAGAAAAACGGAGTCTGCAAAATATCCTACACATTAGGCATACCTTAACACTTGATAAACAAGCCAAGTATCTTAACTGCAAGTTGAGTTTTCAACAAACTGCAGGTACATTTGGGGAAATACTTTAAAGACAGTACTCACCACATCAAAGGCAGTAAACACGTGACAGTAGTGGTGATTGGACTTCAAATCTTTTGTGATATAAGCAAATGTTGAGAGGTCTTCTGGGTCCTGGGCAGCACAGGAGATATTACGAATTTCATGCTCAGCAATTATGTTCTGGAATAAATGAAATAAGTGACAACTGTTTTCCTTTGCAAACCAGCATATTTTAGAATCAAGGCAAATGACTTGGGAATCAGCTGCCTTCCCCTCTTTCTAGAATGTTCTAGACCAGCAACATTCAGAGTGAACGATCTGTGGGCAAATGTGCACCAGGTCTGGAAGGAATTTTTCATTTAATTAAAAACAACCTAATGTTGTCATATCCTGCAGCAGTGGTTCTCACCAGGTGCTGTGAGCAGAAGGACTCCGGGTGGCAGACACGCTTTTTAAAAACATAGTAGTTACTAAGCATTTTATGGTTTTCATTCCCCATATACACCTATAGATAGGCAGTGCTGCCTCCTGCTAATTCTGTCTGGAAAGCATCACCTGCCACATTCTGCATGCTGGGAGAAACTGTCCCAAGAAGCTCTCTAAACCCTTCCCCATCTTGCTGCTCACTTCGGTGCTCCCCCCAACCCCCCATTGCCCTGGATCAAAGGCAAGTGTAGAAGGAAGTGGGCAGGTTGAAGCATCAAGGCGCTCTCTCTTTAAGACATTTTTTAAAGGATAGTTGACATTTAATGTTACATTAGTTTCAGGTGTACAATACAGTGGTTCAACTTCTCTGTATGTTCTGCTATGCTCCCCACAAGCGTAGCTACCATCTGTCACCATACAACGCTATTACAGTGTCATTGACTACATTCCCTATGCTGCGCCTGTTATTCCCATGACCTACTCATTCCATAACTGGAAGCCTGTATCTGCCACTCCCCTTCGCCTGTTTTGTCCATCCTCCGATCCCCTTCCTCTGGTAACCCTCAGTTTGTTCTCTCTATTTATAGGTCTGATTCTGCTTTTTGTTTATTCATTTATTTTTTAAGTTCCATATGAGTGAAATCCTATGGTATTTGTCCTTTTTGATCTTACTTCACTTAGCATAATACCCTTTAGGTCCATCTGTGTTGTTGCAAATGACAAGATCTCATCCTTTTTATGGCTGTGTAACAACATTCCATTGTAGGGGTGTGTGTGTGTGTGTGTGTGTGTGTGTGTGTACACACGCATCTTCCTTATCTATTCATCTATTGATTGATGCTTAGGTTGCTTCCATATCTTGGCTATGGTAAATAATGCTGCAGTAAACATAGGGGTACATATATCCCTTTGAATTAGTGTTTTTGTTTTCTTTGGCTAAATACCCAGTAGTGGAATTAGTGGATCATATGGTAGTTCTATTTTTTAATTTTCTGAGGAACCTCCATACTGTTTTGCACCAGTTTGCCTCCTCACCAACAGTTCAAGGTGCTCTCTCTTAAAGACTCTGCGGAGGCTGAGGTGTAGAGGTGGTATGAGGGAGAAAACCACTCTGCATTATTCAGGTCTTGGATGCCTGGCTTGATGCAGGGCCCCGTGGATGACAACACCTCACTAGCTACACCCACCGTGTAGAATTATGAGTGGGTGCTGTGGTTATCATTATCATCTTACAGGTGGGGAAAATGGTACTCAGTGTAAGGGCTTTATGCAGGGCAGGTGGCAGAGCCAGGACTAAAATGTAAGGCTGTCAGACTCTGGAGCTCAGGCTCTTTCATACACTGCAGGGCCCCTCATCCCCACCTCCCTCTCGCTGGTTTAACATAATTTCATTTTTTTCTCTCTAGCATTTCTTCATGCCATCTCACTGCCAGCCCCCTCATCCCAATGTGCCTCTAAGAGTAACTGGTGGGAGGTAAGTGAAGAAAGGTTTAAGTACCATGATTCTGAAGCACAAAATAACCACGGAGCATCGTGTTGGCTGCAAACCCTGCTAGAAATTTCTTTTGATACACAGATGTTTTTAAAAAGAAAAAAAAATTCACATAATTGTGCAATCGTTTTTTATCTTAGAGGATCCCATTTATGTTTTTTTGCAGTTGTCAGAGATCTAAAACCTTCAGTATGTTAGTTATGCTAATTACTTTTTAATTGCACAGTCTTAAATAACCTGTTGGCCATAAAATGTTCCATGTATGCCCATCAATGCCTAAAAATGCTTACAAAATGTCCTTCCCTGCCAGCACCCCAGCAAGTACTTCATGTCCCTTGCTCTACTGAGCTGTGTGGTTGGGAAGCAATTACAGAATTAACACATAAAAGAAAATTAAATTAAGACATTCTTCACTGTGGCCCTGTATTTTGACATGACATGCAGCACACTGTCAAAAATAACTCAATTTGAAACTGGAATCCCATAAACAAATAACATTCTATTGCAAGATGCAGTTTCAAAATAGAAGGTCATGATCTTCTTCTGGCATTCAGATAGCATTTCTTCAAGTAGAAAACTAAATTAGGAACGAGTGATTCTTAAAATGAACTTAAGAATCTACGGTCTTCACAGGGATGATGTTAGCAGGTGCTGAGAGCCTCCGCCGTCGTGTTAATTGGGAGCTGCCATTACCTCTGGGAGTGTGGCTTTGGTGTCACGTATCCAAGATCCACTGTTATCAGAAATAGAGCATTGGCTCCAATTTTTTTTTTTTTTTAAACTAAATTGGCATTTTGTGTTCCTGAGATCTTTTACTAGCATACAGTAGATTGGAAGATCAACTTCTTGGGAAAGTATTGCAGTGGAAAATGCTCTGTGATTTTTATTGCACTGAATTCCCTGAGTCTTGCCAATTCACAAGATGCCACTTCTCAGCGATCTTCAATGGCATGTGACAGCATCATGGCCCCGGGCAAAACTATAAAGTAGGCAAAGTATATCTTTGGAGATCTCTCTTTATTATGGACCGCATGTCTGTGTCCTCCCCAAATTCATACCTTGAAATCTTAGGAAGCCCGAAATCCTAAGCCCTGATGTGATAGTATTTGGAAGTGGGGCCTTTGGGAGGTGATCAGGTCCTGAGCGTGGGGCCCTCATGATGGAATTAGTGCTCTTACAAGAGAAGGGAGACCTAGGAAGCTCTCACAGCAGGAAGATGCCATCTATGAGCCCAGGAATGGGCTCTCATCAGACACTGAATCTGTTCGTGACTTGATCTTGGACTTCCCAGCCTCCAGAACTGTGAGAAATAAATGCTTATTATTTAAGCCACCCAGTCTGGTAATTTGTTATGAGTAGCCCACAACGGACTAAGACATTCTTCCTGTCTTTCTTGCCCTTCCCCCAATTTTCTGGAACCTCCCACTTCTCTATTCTCCAGGAGCCCAGGGCTGTCTTTTAGCTGCTTACCAAGGCTTGCCCTCCTCTGTGTTGCTCCACATTTCCAAATCAGCCTCCTCTCCCACTATTGAAACTTGTATTCCTCTGTTGCCTGGTCTAGAGGGAAGGCAGGCTACAAATACACTCTATATTAAGAATAAATGATGTTTAATCATCCTAACTGGCACTTTAAAAATATGCTGTTAAGTGAATTCATATTGATAGCTTATGTAGGGAGGTATTTTTGAGCAGAGCTTCCTGATCTGTCCGTGGGGCTGGAATGTGGTGAAGCCCCAAGGTCGCACTATTGAAACGCTGCCATCACTCCGCACTGTCTATGTTTACAGAACAGTGAGGCCAGCTCTCCATGCGGAAGGTGCACCCGAGACCAAGGACACTACGGCTGGAGACCGGATGGTTGGTTTCCTCCTTGGAGAAGATGTCAAGGAGGGACACATTCTTTCTACCCCCTGCCACACATCAGTTAGTGGCTCCTCCATAAATTAACACTGGATGTCAACATCAGGTACTGGTGATGCATCTCCATTTAAAATGGACCCCCCTTCTGTTGCTCAGCCTCCACATCTAACCATGTTCTAAGGAGACTAGAGCTTTTTAAAGGCTCAAAGGGAAGAGTGAGGAGGGACTCACGCTGCCCCTTCTTTGGGATAGAAAGTTTGGCAGCTCGGTACTCTGCAATAGGGAGAGACTGTTTTTTCTTGTCTGTTGCCTTTCATCATGTTGAGAAACAGCTAAACAGGTGCCTGGCTGGTGGTGCAGAACAGAAGTGTTTGGTCCGGCCAGTTAATAGAAAGGTTCTCAGAAGGGTGTGTGATGAGAAGTGATGGGGCCTAGGAGTCAGCCTCTCCCCGTTTCCCTCACTCCTGGCTCCGACAGGCAGGGCCCTTCTCCTGAGTCTCCTCCTCAGGCCAGACCTTCTCCGGGAGAGTGCAGTGCCCCTTCAGAGAAAGTGTCCGAAACAGAGGCAACAGCCCCAGCTGAGGGCTGCCAGGAGGTGACCCGTAGAGAGGCTGATGCAGATGAGAACAGCATACATGCTTAATGGGCTCTTAATTTGACTCTGAGCTTTTTGGAAGGAGAAGTATGAGCTATTAAAAAAAAAACAAAAAACAAAAAACACTTGTTTAAGCAAATGTTCTGAATTATTTTGTGCTTAAAAAAACAGCATAAGCCCTGTTTGAAGTTGGCATTCAAAAAGCAAACAAACAAAAACCAAACCCCAGCACTGCACTGTTCCTAATTTAGCTGGATGGGAAGACTGAGGAGGGGGTCAGGGCGGGAAGGTAAAACGCAACCTACTCTCAGCCAAGCAGTGGATGTGGGGACTGTGTCACCTCTTGCAAGACCCCGCTGGTCTGAAAACAGGGCCGTAACCAAACTGTCAGAGACCTCTGGGCCGAATGCCTCACTAGAGTTCTCTCTGGGCTGTGGATCTACAGAAAGGTGATGTGCTTTATCGACAGACAACATTTTAGGAGCAGGTCTATTCCAAGTTCCATTTTTAATTCAAGACTATTTTCGGCTCTCCCTTCTTAAAACAGGATTAGTGGTTCGATTTGTTTCCTAAGTTTGTGGGCAAGAGGTTTACAAGTTTCTATCCAGGCACCTAACCCTTCCCCATGGAGCAGCCGATGTCCCGTGTTCACAGAGGGAAAGGAAAGCAGTGCTTTGCCGGAGGGCTCATCCTCCCCGGGCTAGTGGGGGCCAGAGAAATGCTAGAGCAGCACCCTGCCTGCTAACCAGTGGCACTGGCCATGGAGGGACAGCAGATGAGTTAGGTTAGGGGCTGGGGAGGTCAGGTCAAGGTTCAGCCCGTCCCCGCGACCAGCTGGCTGCGGGACTGCAGGGCAGTCACTTAGCAGAGGCCGGAGGCCTTCTGTTTCTGCGCCCCCTCCACGCCCTGCGGGCCGAACAAACTCCTCCAGCTCTCCAGCTGGAGAGCGAGCGAGCCACGCAGTGGCTGGGAGAGGGCTGCTGAAGAGGAAATCGCAGTGAAAGCATCAGATATGGATACGAAGGTGTGACTTTTGGCTGTGCCTCATCCCAGGCTTAGTGGCCTCTAGCACCTCACCTTGTGAGGTCTTCAAATAGGTGTCCGCCTCACAAGTCCTTCCCGCAGAAGCGGCCCACCAAGACAGCACCTCCCAGGGGAGAGGTCCGCGGGGCAAACCGAAAGCAGGGCTCTGGAGGTTACCTCTGAGCTCCTCTCCCGGGGGGCGAGCACCAATCCGGGGTCGGCCTTTGCTACAGAACCAGGCGGCCCGTGAAGGTGCACGGCGGACACTGCGGGGGCCTAGCTGTCTGAGCGCAGCTCCCCTCCCAACAGGGCCTGAGAATGGCCCTTCAACAGTGCCTCCTCGAGGCCTTTCGGAACCAGTCCTTCAGCCCTGGCTGGTGGTGGTGCTTCTCAGCCTTCTGCCGTCAAACCCCACCAGTGCGGCCCGACACTCTTTCTTCTACTGCTCTAATCCAGTCTCTGCCTTGGCTTCTCACACACCAACGGCCAGACTGTGGCCCTGAGTCACCCACGCCCTCCCTACGCACTGTTTGATCGGGCTCGATCGGCCACATTGCAGGACACGGGGATGAGGACACTGTACACTTGTCGGTGTGGAAGTCAATGTCCCCAGATTCCCGAAAAAGCCGCCAGGCACATGTTGCCAGAGGGAGGGTGGCTTTCCACCCCCAGCACAGGCACTTTGCCTTTGCTCTAGGTTCTGAAAATTCGCTGAGGACCACACTCCAAGAACTTGAAAGATACGCTGTCCTTCTTTAGTGTTTTTATTCACACAGGATTACCTTTGTGTATTGTTCAGTGCTCATACTTCCATAGAACAGGCATGGGTGAGTAGGCATTCATGGATAACTCATCTAATTATTGGCGACTGAAGCAGAAGTGTCTCCTCAAGGTATGGGAGGATCAGGTTCTACAGCCCTTGATGTGTCTGTAAGCCAAATGCAAAGGACGGACAGAGCTCTCTCATTCCTCTGATTGTGGAGAGTGGATTTGAGAGGATGCTAATAATACAGACGCATCCAGTCACACCACCAGCTTCGCAGAATGACAGCCTTAAGACTCTGGGAACTCTTCAAGGCAAATACCACTTGTTTAGAAATTGTCAGAATCCAAGACTGCTGAGGTTGTTAATCTAAGGGAGTGTCAAACTCTTCTGCTAGAAATATATTGCTATTCATGGTTTTCAAATGCAAATGGATACAGAGTTGCTCCGGGTTAGGGAAAACACCCAAATGCCAAAGCCTTTCTTGAACCTTAGAAAACAGTGACAGCCACGGTGCTGTCGATGAGAGTTCCATTAGGTTCTGAAACTTTAAAAACCAACTGACTATAATTTAAGGATAAAGAAAAGTTTGTGCACCAGTAACTAAAAGTTGCTTCCAACTATAAAAAAGCAAATCAATCGGGATTTTTCTGATGAGAATCTCCACAGTTGTAATCCCACAACAGTAACGGTCAATACCATATTGCTGGCTTGAAACAATCTTTTCACATAAGGCATCTGACTCTGTGCTTTGGAGATCATCAGGCTGCATAATCGTGCAGGGTTATAAGCTTTCTGCTCGGGTTTCAGAACTGTTTCTAAAACTGGGAGGATGTTCTCCTAAGTAGATCCGGGGAGCCTGGGCTTGTCTGACTGCTCTTACAGCAATCTTCTTTGTTCTACTAGACAAATCAGGAAACCTCCGAATTGGTTGATTCAGATGCTCAGGGTTATTATAGCCTCCCAAGAGTCACTGCTCATGGGACTCCCCCCTGGTCTCTAAATCTGGTTGCCCCGGCCCTAGGTTACTACTGTTTAGTTCACCTGTTTCATGACTTTGATGCCCTTTTTCCAAAATGGAGTACAAGTAGGGGAACCGGGTAGGGGGTTCAGAAAATAAATGGTATTCACCAATGGGGATCTTTCTACAGTTTATCAGTTGGGAGGATATAGGAATAAAACACATGGACATCTGGGGGTTCTGTGAGGAGGAGCCGGTCAGGTTTGGTTGTTTATGGAGAGTGACTAGTGGTCACACCCAAGTGTTCTAGTCTCGCCCTGGCGCTCGGTCATCTTCATCAGGAAAGGAACTCTAGAACACTTAAGTAAAATGCAACCCGGTCATTCCCACTTGACCTCCAAGCTCACGAACTGTTTCCACTGTGAATACAAAGTCACAGCGGAGTCATAACGTGGCTTGAGCCTCTTTTCTGATTGTGCCTCTTAAGAAAACAATACAGTTGAAATCTTCTCCTCCATCTCAACAGCTGAGAATAAACGCAATTATAAAATATGAAAGTCAGAGAATGTGTTCCTTGCGTCGGGTGTTCACTACATGTATCCAAAGAAAGGACGTATATATCTCTAGAGGAATGGGAAGACAAATGTCCTAGTCCTTTGGCCAGTAACATTTTCCTCTGATGGAGGCACGATGACATTGCTGCATTTTCATTACATACGTGACTTTTTTTTTTTTTTCCTGTTGTAATGTTCTCCAGATCCAAAGGGAAATGCCAGGTACTAAGTGGCCACAGTCTATTAGAGAAAGCACCACAGAAAAAGCAAAACGTGTGTAGGAATCCTAGATGAAACCCCCAGATGCGATGTGCCCTTCTGTGTATGAGTGAGAGAGAGAAAGCGAGCGAGAGAGAGAGAGAGAGAGGAAGAGTGTGTGTGTGCGCACGTGCACCTACAGTTGTGTTCAGGGAGCAGAAAGGTGGGGGGCAGGACGTGAATAAAAGGGGAGATGCTGGGCATGATGGGAGCAAAGGATTTTAGATCATATGCCCAGGAGTGTATCTGGCGTCTAAACCAAAGAGAAGTGCAGTACTCACCTTATTTGTTGCATCAATAAATTTGACTCCTTTATAAGAGACTGAAAGAATAATAGTGGGGACCTTCTTCATTTGCTCTGTAGACTTCTGCAATTAAAATCAGAAAGCTGTTAGAGCAGTTTGTGTTGCATGGCAACGGAAGAACATAATTTCTCCTCTTGAAAGATAAAAATGAGCCCAACTTAAAAACAACACACACACACACACACACACACCCCCCAAACACACTAATTTAAATGTATGTCTCTCTTCTCTTGGGCTCGGCTATGGTTTGGACTTCTAAAGTGTCTGTCTTGCACTTGAGAATCTAAAAAGAGCTTGTTCTGCCGCTTCCTGTGGGTGAAGGAATACTCCTTTTCGCTGACACCAAAGGGAGAAATGAACAGCTCTGTCTCCTACTGCGGTTTCAAGCAACCGTTCTTTGACTGGAGTTAAACCATGTCAGAGTTAACGCCAAGGGTGAGTTTGGCATTGACAAAACATACGCCACCACTCCCCCTTTCTCCCAGTCACTCTTTCTTCAAGGCACGATGTAGGTCTGAATCATGTAGTTAGAATAGGGACTTAAACACATCATTGTGAATTTTTCTTGAACCTGGCCAAATCCCTACGAGCTGACGTATTTGCAGCAACACCGCTGGTGACTACGCAGGATAGAATACCACCCTGCCACAATGAAGCCCTCCAGAACAGCCCGTGTGTTGAGCCAAAGCAAAACCGGACAGTCCAGGTGACCTACTTAATCATTTAGAGCCGCTAGATTTCCTTAGGCTAAGTTCTTATGTATGATACGTGTTCCCTCCGGCTTCATGTGCTGCGAGTCTGCAGCCTCGGGAGTTTTATGCATCTGCAGAAAGTTTCTCCACAGTTGAGGACGTGCCTTTTCTGTTCAGTTTGATCATTCATCACGGGTCACCCTAGTCTGTGTACTTCATTTCCCACCACGGTTCCTCCTAATAATCACATTAAACATCGAGAAGAACCTACCTGACAGTTAGCCTGATGGATTTTCCAGAGAAGACAGGTGGGAACAAAAGGAGAGAGAAAACACATAAAAAGGTGAGGAAACCATTTCAATAATTCACCAAGAGCACAGAGTCCTGAGGCGGTACATGGAGAACAGGCTTTACAGGTAAACGCGGATGCAGCGCAACTGCTCTTGTAGGCACAGCTGTGGGCTTTTCAGACCCCGTCTCTCCCTTCCTGTCCCCTCATCACTGTTCGCCGCGCCACACTGCCTCATGCCTGACACACCAGAACCTTCCACTGCGGGTGTCCCAAAACCACCTGTCTTATGGCTAGTAAGGGAATTGGGGGGAAATATTACCCAATTTTCCATTTTTAAATTCCGAAACGTGACCTGAATTAAAGAAGGCTTTTAGTTGGATAGGGTGAATGAAACTCACTGAACTTAAAAATAATAATTATGTTACATCTTTCACTTGAGCCATGGATAAGGTGTTTCATGTTCTCCTGATTGTTTTGACACATCTTTTGGATAGCTACTACACCTATTTCAAAGGTAGAGAGGATGGATCAGTAAGAGTGTTACTATTTAGTATTTATTAAATGTTTCATACAGTATAGAAAATAGCTGCTCTCCTGAAGTGCTTTTTAACTAGTTTTAAATTACCCGGACTTGCTAGTTTTCTTTCGTGATTGACAGAGATTTATTTATTTATTTTAAAGATTTTTATTTATTTTTGTGAGAGAGAGAGAGCATAAGTGCAGGGGGAGGGGCAGAGAGAGAAGCAGGCTTCCCACTGAGCAGGGAGCCCGATGCGGGACTCGATCCCAGGACCCTGGGATCATGACCTGAGCCAAAGGCAGACACTTAACCGACTGAGACACCCAGGCGCCCTGCCAAAGAAATTTAGATACTTTTATCTTTTTAATGCATTATCCAACCAACCCTTAAAAATGTACAAAACAGGGGCGCCTGGGTGGCTCAGTCGGTTAAGCGTCTGCCTTCTGCTCAGGTCATGATCCCAGAGTCCCAGGATCGAGCCCTGAGTTGGGCTCCCTACTCAGCAGGGAGTCTGCTTCTCCCTCTCCCTCTGCCACTCCGCTTGCTCCTTCTTTCTCTCTCAAATAAATATCTTTTTTAAAAAAAGTGTGCAAGATAAATCAAAGGTAAAGCTAGAAAAAACAACACTCAGTATATGGACTTTAAGGCAAAATCCTGGACTGAGCTCCGTACAGAGAGCGGGCCACGGCCGGCATGGGCAGTGGCCTGGTGAACTGAATGTGTGTGAGGAATTCTTTGTAAAGAGTAACAATGGATTTCAACAAATTACCTCGCTCATTTCCTGGCACGAATACATTCTATCAGATGGATCTATCCATACCATGAAACAATATATAGCTAACATAAGATTAAAATATCAACATTTCATTTAGTATTAAGAAAAATCCAAAAAAAGAGATAGTAAAACCATTTGTTATCCATTCAGCAATTGAGTGGTTATAGCAGGCAGCCCACTGTGTTGGGAAAACTCTGAGTCTACTTCAGGGCATGTCAAACAGACCTCAGGTTGTGTGCAAACTACAGTCTATGGAAAGCGGTTGTCTCAAGGGCTGTGTTGAGAAGACTCTGAGAGCCTCGTACCTGGGCTCAGTGGGAAAGAGGGTTGGGAACGATGTATGTGTGGGGCAGGGAGAGGAAGGGACAGCACAGGAGCTACACACCACAAAGAGAAGCTACGACACGCTGATAAATGCACCAGTGATAGGAACAGAAGGCCTCCAGAGTACTGAGCAGAGAGAGCCTCACTTCGCAGGAGAGAGTGGGGCAAGCCTTCATTACTCACTCACCAAGCACTGTCTGCCTGCTGGGGCTGACTGAGCTGGCTCTTGAAGGAAGAACAGGGATTTTCCAGGTGCCAAAAGAGGACAGAAGAGGCTGTTTTAGCAGAAGAATCAACATATACACGAAATGAGAAATAATATGGTGGGTTTGGGTAATTGGTGGATGAGGTTGGTACAGTAGGTTTGGAAGATTGTGACTTACTCTGCCAAGCTAGAATCCCCTGGAGGTTTTTAAGTAGAGCATGGGTGGCAGAAAGACAATGCTGGTGACTGGAAGCACTGGGACAGCTGAGGCTGAAGGGAGACCCTAAGCCCCAGGGCTGTGGCAGAGGCACAATCAGGGGAGAGGGAGCCGTAACTCCGACGAGGGAGACTCAAGTGGCTCTGCTAACCCATGTGCCATGGAAGATGAGTGAGCGAGAGGACTCACGGATGAAGAGGCCATTCCTGAGATGAGCGGACACTACAGGGGAACAGGCTTTGGCATGAAATCCTCCCGCGCATGCTCAGTTCGATAATCAGGTGGCGATGTCCAGCAGGAAATGCGAAATAAGAATCTGATCTGGGAATCCGTCCGTATCGAGGGGGGTGCCTGAGGAGATGGGAGCAGATGAGGGGGCTCAAGGAGTGAACAAGAGGGCGAGGAAGCCCCTGTCTCAGTCACTGCGGCTGAAACAGAGCTGGAAGAAGGCTGAGCGCCATGTCGCCGAGGTCAAGCAGCAGATTCCTTAGAAGGTGGGGGTGGCGCCCGGGGCCCTGAGGACCGGAAAAAGGGCCGAAAAATCAAAGCCCAGCACCGTGGCTGGCACACGTAGCGGCTGCTATTTTTATTGGGTCTTCTGGGTGACATCGCTGGCTTTAGCAACTAGAGAAATGTGTTGCTGATGTTATTAAGAGCAGCTTGAGGAGAATGGTGGCCGCAGAGCAAAGAACAGTGATCTGTGCACTGAATGTGAGCGAGGGGGAGCGGAGAGGAACAGAAAGGCCGGGACACCGGCTCTTAGGCTGAAATGAAGGCATCAGTGGTGGTTTGGGTCCGGATATGAACATTCTACATCGTACGCTCAGCCAAGCTGAACAAAGAAGAAAGCATAAAAGCCCGGTCATTTCTTTTTCTTTCGTGGGATCCCTGCTTTCCTAACTGGAGGCCATCCTGGCGTGGCCCCTGCAGTGGCTGTGCCACCTGCGGACGGTGGCGCTGGGGGGGCCACCAGGCCCCCGCGGGAGTCCAAACCTACTTCTCTCCTGCTCAGCGCCTTGACAAGAAGCTGCGGGACCCTGGCTGACTGCAGAGGCGCTCTGGCGGGCCTTCAATGTCATGCTCCTCCTTTAAGGCATTTATAATTCTATGAGAGATAAAAATCCTGCCTCTTTCAGGGGATTTTCTGTTGGGTGTACTCTGACCAAGCCTTCAAAGAGGTCTTTTCATATGTTATTTTAACGAAAGATGAAAACACATACAGAGAAAGCAAATATACTGAGTCTTCAGGGAGAATAATCAAGGAGGCAAGAAATCCAATAAGGGCCTACTTCACTTTATGAAGGCTCTATAGATATCGAAGAAAAGTGAGCAGGGCCTCAGTCCAATCACGGACCGCCCGCGTCCCACTGTCTCCATTTGCTCTTACGAGTTGCAATGCAATGCCGGTTTTCTCCTCCTTCCCAGGGACGGAGGCACCCTAGGCTGGACCACTGCTCAAGTTACAAAGTGCTTGCCCCCGGGCCACGGCAGTCTCTGTGATCTATCTGGATAGTTAATGCTCCCATATATGTACGTATGTTAAAACAGTCAAGCCTTATTTATTTGTATAAACAGAATTCTCTTCTTCAGTAAAATGCTCAGGGCAAACCTTATGTGATGGTTCTCTTTTGTTTCTAGTTGTTTTCTTTTCTGTGCCACACTCTTTGTGGAATTTTTTTTTTTTTTTAAAGATTTTATTTGACAGAGCGAGAGACACAGTGAGAGAGGGAACACAAGCAGGGGAAGCGGGATAGGGAGAAGCATGCTTCCCGCGGAGCAGGGAGTCCGATGTGGGACTCGATTCCAGGACCCTGGGATCATGACCTGAGCCGAAGGCAGACGCTTAATGACTGAGCCACCCAGGCGCCCTCTTTGTGGAATTTCTGAGGCTTTCCCCAGTTCTCAAATTCCCTCCCCTTCAATGCCAGTTTTACAGGAGAGACTGATTTGTAATGAGGACCTCCAGATACCTTAGCAGCTGAACACTC